CTGTGAGCCGTGGCCAGGCGTTGCAGACTCACGGGCTCGGCGCAGTCGGCAGCGGTGCAGCTCCGCTCGTTGCGCAGGTGCCGCAGGGCCCCGTTCTGCAGCAGCAGGGCCACCAGCGCCTCGTTCCCGCTCGCCACGGCCTCGTGCAGGGCTGTGTTGCCCTTGGCGTTGCAGAGGTTCACGGAGGCGCCGTGCTGCACAGCAAAGGGAAACCTGAGTTAGAACAGGAGGAGGGACCTGAGCAACGCAGCAGCCCCAGAACTGCACATGGCCAGAGGCAGCTGAGCCACCAGAGCAACCAGAACCCACCTGGGCATGTCACTGCCCCATCTCACAGCCACAGCTCCATGGATCAGCTCAGTTTGCTTTTGCATGTATCTATTATATATTCCAAGCTTTAGAGATACTTAACAAACCCCAACCCTATGTGATAGAAGCCCAGGCAAGAAAACTTGCCACATAAAAGTTCCATACAAACAGGTACCTGTACAATACCAAAGTAATATTTATCTAATTAAAGTCTGTGAAGGGATGGTATTGAAAGGAGTAAGTTAACAAAAACTCTGATTTCTTTCCCCAAGTATTTTTGACAGAGAAATGCATAACTGAAAATACTGATCCTGACTTCTAGGAAAGCACAGATATCACATGAGAAATACTAGCAGAACACACAGTCTTCAATTATCTTACCTGCAACAACAGGGCAGCAGTCTCATAGTGACCATTCAAGCATGCATAAATTAAGGGAGTATTTCCATATATATCCTTTTTATTTTGTTTAGCATTGTAATCCATCAGACACTTTACCACCTATTGAAAGAAGCAACAACTTTACTGAGTAAGAGATTAGCTCTCATATTTTAACACCCACTGTTAAAAAAAAAAAATTAAGCAACCACAAGAATGGCCAGAAAATAAAACTTGAGATGTGTGAAAAACAACTATAACCAGTAACTTAACAAAACATCAAAACCGAACCACCACAGCAGCAGCACCCTCTTCCAAACTCATCACACTTGGACGGAGTTCTTTATACTGTAATTAACCCATTAACTAATCTACAACTCTCCCATTAATTAACCTACAACTCTGAGTTGTATTCTTGGTTTTTCTTGCTTCCCTAGTGCTTTGTCTTCCCATCATTTTCAAAATTCTCTTTTTTTTCCCTCCTGCAGTCTTCAGCTGCTTATTTTTAAAGCCCTTATTTTCTGCCTTTGTGCATCTTTCTGTTTGCCTGTCTGCTCCTGCTTTTTCATGTTTGTTATTTTCCTGTCTCATTTACTCTCCCTCCTGTATTGACACTCTCCCCCCATGGGCTCATACTTCTCCTTCACTGCTTTTGCTCCCCTGACTTGAAGAGAGGGATGAATTATCTTCTGCCTCAAAGCTCCACTCAGCTCATGATCTAATTAAAGGAATTGAAAATATAGTAACTATTTAATACTGTGGCTGCTGAAGACACTAAAACACAAATGTAACCTAGAGAAGAAGGTACAGAGGAATGTACACAGAAGATTCAGCTGCACAAGGGGTGTTTAAAGCATTTGAAGTATGACAGAAGGTTTTTGCACCACTTGCATTAAACCATTTATTATTAAAACCAATTATTAAACACCATTGCATTTTAAGTCATTTATAAAGAAAAGATGTTTACTGCAATGATTTCAGCTCAAAGTTCCCCTTTCCATCTGGAGATTTTAGACACTGAAAACAAAATCCAGAACCACCAAACTCGTTTTCTCTGTTGCTGGTTCAGTGTGGTTGAGTTTCCCCAGGCAGCTTTCCCTGAGTGCCAGGTGCCAGTGAGCTGTGTGCAGGTGTCTTAGATTGCAATACAGGATGTGACCAAAAGTGTGTATTCTATCCCCATCTGTTAAAAACCAGGTGGGGGAATGTCCTTTACGTTTTCCACAACCCATCCTTCCTCCAGGAAGATACCAGCTGTTAATGGGCCATTGAGTCCCACTGAATGACTGATAAAATTACCTCATCCTATTTGGAGGAGCCAAGCCTTTCCTACCTAGATAAAATCTGAGATTTGGAACACCAAAGCAGCTTTTTTTTCCTTGGTTTCCGGGGGAAACCCGGCCTTTTCCCCTTCTTCCTTGGCCTTTTGGGGGAACCCTGCCCCTTCTACAGGAGCACTGCTCCAACAGAACCACATCTGTCACTGCAGGAGGATGCAGCCACCATTTAATGGGACTGCTACCAATACCCTGACTGACAGGGTGTCAGGTTGTATTCTGACTCTGTCAGTGTTTTTGGCTTTGTTCTCTGTAATACTGTATTTCTATTTTAATTTTCCTAGTAAAGAACTGTTATTCCTATTCCCATAACTTTGCTTAAGAGCCCCTTAATTCCAAAATTATAATAATTCAGAGGGAGGGGGTTTACATTCTCCCTTTCAAAGAGAGGCTCCTGCCTTTCTTAGCAGACACCTGTCTTTCAAACCAAGCCAGCAGGGCAGGGTTACCTGGGAGTGTCCCCTCTGGCAGGCCAGGTGCAGGGGAGCTGCCAGCTGGGTGTTCTTGGCGCTGGCACTGGCGCCGTGGCGCAGCAGCAGCGCTGCCAGCTCGCCGTGGCCATGCAGAGCAGCCATGTGCAGAGGGGTGAAACCATCCTGGTTTGAAACATTCACCCCCAGCCCGTTGGAACAGATCCTGGAAAACTTCTGTGGAGGAAAACACACAATAAAACTGTCAAAATAATCATGCTTTGTTTTTAATTAATGAAATAGCCAAATACCTGCTACCTTTATATAAAACAGGCAGATGGGCATTACAAGAAATTCTGCTAGAGCTTAATTTGAGGCCTTCAGAAAAAGTCAGTAAAACAGAGCAGCTTGGTGGCATTTTTCAACAGAAAATTACTTTTATTGTAATCTCTTTTTCTCCAACATGATAACTTCATGGAGAGCAATTCCAGGCAAAGTATTCATGGTATTAAAAAGAGGCTATTAAAAAGCAGCACAGGTTGAGACATAAGTAAAACTGAAAGTTTTTATACAGCTGTTAGGATACTCATACTGGATATAAGGCAGTGTTAATGAGTTACTTTCATTTATATAGATATTTATGCTCTTTGAGACAGACAATAAACACCTCTCAATGCTAAATGAAACTTGGGTTAATAAGGATACAAACCAAAATTAATTTAATTCATCTGGAACCAAGAGTGGCCCAGAGAAGAGACTCCCCTGTGGAGTCAGGATAAGGAAACCACCTGGAGGACAGTTTACCCAGCAATACAGAACATCTTCCTCTTTCACTCCCCTTGCCAACTGTGGCTGCCTGACATTTATAGTGTGCACAACTTTCCACTCTGCTTTCAATGTGTGCCTGCCTAACACAGGGGTTAGGATTAATTAACACGTTCCTCCTTCTTCTCATTCATCAGACAAGTAAATTCCACAGCAGATGACATTCCCCTCCCTGTCAGCAATAAAATGAGCTTTATGGACTCGAGCTCTGGCATCTTTAGCACTGATCTCTGTCCTGAGGGCACAGACTCCCCTTACCTGAGAACATAGCACAGTGTGAATGTGAAGCATTTAAGGACAACAACACACTCTAAGCCTGCACAAAATAAACGTGTGGTGGCAATGGGGAATTTCTAAGTCAAGCCATCTCACAGAGCTGTTAATCCCAAAGTAGCAAATAAACTGAAAATTTGTGCTTAGGTTTATTTTGCAATGACTTATCCAGTCATGTACACCTTCACACCCTCTTGGAAGGCAAGATGTGGAATTTCTATTTCCAAAAAGCTGGGATTGTTCCTTATTTAAAACAACAACAAAAACACATACACAAAAAACCCCCACCCAAACCCAAAAAACAACAAAAAAAATCCATAAAAAGAGTGTATTGTAAAACCTCGTTCTATTATACACTGTGGTAACTTAGGGGAAAGGAAATCTTTGCAACTGAAAAGAAAGTCATTGTAATTATACCTAATCTCTGAAGAGGCTTTAGATATGGCTTGTAGAAAAGATGCCATGCAATTTAAAAAAAGACTTTATCAGCATTACATGGATTCTGGGATTAGCAGGTATTCCTTGCTGAACTGATTACTAACAGGTAAGCAGATATGCTGTGCCAGTAGCAGTGTAAACTAAAGAGAATCAGAGGCTTAGAAAAGAATCTTTATTCAAAGTTGCCCAAACCTTCCTGACAGCTCTTCACATATCCTAAAAGCAAACTGTGAAGCTTTCTCAATCCATTAGATCTTGAGCAAGTCCATGAACACTGTTCCTGTATCCAAAATTTTTAACAGTTCAATTAAAAAAAGAACAATTTCATACCATCAGATGAAGTGTTAAAATCTGCAGATAGTTAATTTCTTTTTAGACAGAGAGCCAGACGTGCTGGGCAATATGAATGCTGTTTCCCTGGAGCTAAAAATTACATTACAAGAACATAAATTATTCTTTTCACAGAATGAATATTCCAACCTTTTGTGCTGGCCCACATTTTGAGCACTGGCATAAGGGATGGCAGAATTCTGGTTTTGATGTACTGGCTGTGTCATCCTCATCTTCCAAGTCTTCTTCCACCCATTCCAAGAGATAACGAACCTGTCATGAAAAGCAAGTCCTCCTTTTATGGAGTTCAAAAGTTCTATGTCCTAACAGATCTGCATATGTAGACAAGTCAGATTTGACAAACATACACTTGTGAGTATCTCAGGAAGAGCACACAGCTACCATCAGCTGCCCACAGGCCAAACTAAAAAAATCAAGTGTTACTGTTGACAAAGCAGCTAGGAAGTTCCTCCAAGTACAGCAGTGAATTATAAATAACTTCCTGCTGCCTAATCACAACTTCAGTGTTCACCCACTCTCATACACTCCAAATCCTTTTAGCTCAGATGATTTGTGCCAGCTCATATCAATGTGAATTTTGTTTCATCTTTTGCTTTAAAGAACGTAAGGAATGACAAGGATGACAACATTAAACTTTGCAGGGGCACTGACTTTCCTTAGGTCTGTCACTTCTCAGCAGTTGGACAGTTTCACTTTTTGCTCAATGTACAATGCCTCATTTTTGAGAGAGAGGCCCTTCAATGAAGTCTTAGGGCTCAGGGCATTCATGTGCACACTGCAAACAGTGATGCTTAGAGCATGTAAATTTTACATTACATTTCATTTAAATTTTAAAAAAAGCTGTTTAAGCAGTACATTTTTATCTTGAAATTCATTAATCTACATTTCACTAAAGACAGAATTAGCAGTGACTGTATTGAGTCTTCATTGCTACTGGACCTAACCAAGAGTTCTACAGCTGCAAGTGCAATGGAATGGGGACAGTGGGATTTGAGACATTCCTCCCACTGTGTTTACTCTCACACTTGTCACAGGCTCTGCTTCTCACCACTGAGCTCTGGGGAAAAAATCACATCTATGTCCTTTCCACTTAAAAACATGCAGCTACAACAAATCCTAGGACAGCCAGGAAGGGCCCTATACCTGATTCTGAATGATAACATATTTGAGCCTGAAAAAGGATGTTTTTCACAGAACATTGCTTTCCCTGCAAATTCCATGTTGCTCTCTGGAGTAAAGGAAATCTTCTCTCAAGCCTGTCTGTTTATAGGGGCCAGCTCAGGAAAGCTTTACTACTTGCTACATTTGTACATGTCTAAAATAAGCAGAAGCATCACTTCACTTCCCCTTTTCCTTGAAGACTCACCTAGACCATCACAATCGACTTGCTCCTCCTCCTGTGACAGCCCAGTACTGCTGCTCTCATTATCCAGTGCACAGCTCCCAACATATTGACACCAGTGTCACCCAAAAACCTGATCACACTACTGTGCCCATCTCTTTGTAATTACAGTGCAGTAGCCATTCTTCTTGGTTTAAAGGTATTTTTGGTCAAAAAATAGTTCTGTACCCTCACTCCAACCTTTCAGCTGCTCCACAACACTTATTTCAGACAAGAGATTTGCTTTTTTTCCTGTGGTAGATTTGCACAAATCCTTTCCACTGGACAGAACAGGTACAAGGAGAGCACCAATCCAATAGCCATGCTGAGACAATGCCAGTCACATCATAATGTTTATATGTTTTTTAATCTTCCAGTTTCACAGCACTTTTTTAATGTCTCCTCTTGCAAAGCTCCGTTAGCTGGCACAGCAAAAATCTACAGCAGCCCTAATGACCTGGTTGCTGTGGCTGTTCCTATGGAGACAGACCTCAGGCTGTCAGAAAAAGGTCAGAGTTTTTAAATACTCGTGGTTTTTTAATAGATACACAATTTGTAACCTTTGTCATCCAGTTGGATGATTCTCCTTTTATGAACAGCTTTACATGAACTTCAGTAATGAGGAAAGAAAAGCCACAAAAGATAAGATGATTCTGTCATCTGAATGCACAAACTGGATTTCTGTATGCTTTTCATTGCTGGTATCTATTGAGCAATGCTAGATACTAATTTCCCAGCAAGTTATAGCAGTATATTTAATTTTCTTCACATAGTTTAGATTTTCACAATGTGGGTGCAAAGTTAACTGCAATACATGCACATTTACCACTGGCCAGGAAGATGGCAAATATCAATATTGCACATGTTACTGCTTCTTGAAATGACTTAAGGGCTGGCTTGGAAATAATTACTTATATTAAGTCACATTGTAAACTAGGATAATGATATGTACTCAACAACTGAACAGTTCTTTGCATTATAAGCTGATAAATTATTTCTATCATGTCAGTGGAATAAAACATAAGAAAAACAATATTAACATGGCACATATTTTGTAACATGGGTTTTCTATTTTCTTATGACTCTATAAGGCTTCATTGGCATTTGTAACTCCTGGTACAAACCAAACCCAACCAGATTTTTCAGAACATGCACCCAGCAGAGCAAATCTGCATTCTCATACAGCTTTTTGGTTTTGTTCTATAAACTACAAGAAAATCAAGAAATCAACAACCCTATACATATTTCCAAAAACAAAACTTCTAAAGATTCATGTGTCATCCTCAATTTTTCAGTAGAATGACATTGGAAGCATCTTATTTTTTAAGGAATAAAGGCAATGATAAATTAAAAAAATAGTCAAGACAGGTGGTAACACAAATTACAGAACATCACTCTGAAACTGGTATTGTTATAGCCATCAGATGTCTATTTGAAGTGAAATCCAAACTTCACATTGTTGTGTGTCCCACAAATAGCATCTCTGTGCTGACTGAGGTCACCTAAATTTCCTCTTTATATGAAATTATTACCCAAAGCATTCTCCACTTGATATTATTTACAAGTAACTTCCTCAATTTGAATGAGAAAAAATGGAATTCAATAATACTCAACAGCCACATTAACACTCACCATTTCCAGATCTCCATCAGCAACTGCTCTCAGGAGTTTTTCCACCTATGTATAAAGAAAATTATTTGCTTTGTTAGTATTGGTATTAAGCAGAACACAGAAAATCCTGTGTCCTTTGCTAACCTCCTAAGCTCATACAGTAAGATTACTGCTGGCCCTTTACATATTGATTGATAAAGTTGTAAAGGAAAAACCTTTCTTTATGAAATATACAATCTGTACAAGGCCTGTGGCCATTTGATGAACTCTGACTTCTTAGTTAAACAGTACTTATCTAAATTGAGGATTTGTGGCCCACCCATATACAAAATCATGTAAGCTGATATATATTATTATGCTGCTCCAGCAGCAGCTGCCCTGTGCTTTTCTGTGTGAGCCTAACATTAAAAAACCCTGCTCAAGGCAAATTCCTACCCTAATATACACTAATACTGTTTGGACTCTTGCTGAGTTACTCTATGCTATGAGGAACACAAAGGATGGCAGGTTTCACTGTGCTATTTGAGAAACAACAGTTTAAGATGACAAAGATGCTTTCTAATTGCTACCTTTACATCTGCCAATAACTGGTTTATTCATGTGCTAAAACTCAAATATTTACTAACTTGACTGTAGGTATGAAATTTGTTTTCTTAAAATCTAGAAAGGTTTAAATATCAAAGGGCATGCATTAGGACAAGCACCAGCATTAGCTCATTTAAGTGTAAGGTCAAGCCAGGGCTCCACTGCTGGCTGGAGGTGCTCTCTGTCCACAAGCTCTGCAGGGGGAGAAGAGACATGTGAGGGAAGAAGAGATGGAAGGTGCTCTGCAGAGCACTGGTGCCACTCCCCTGAGCCCTCAGGTTGCTTGTGAAAGCAGGAGAAGGAGATTAACTTGTCTCTTCACTTCTCTAATTCTCTACTCTCACATGCAGGAGTTGAGATCCAACCTGATAGGAATGGGAAAGGTGCCAGCAAAAGGGCAGGGAGAGTCCATCAGTCCTCTCACAACTCACCTGGCTCTGCAGAGTGTCAAGAATCATTTAATAAGCTTTGTGAAAGTCTGTTTCAGCATTATAGCAAATTATTCCACCACTGTGCTAGAATCACCAAAGATGCTGTGTGAGCATACTGATCTCAATAGCAAGGAACACCTTACAAGTTGAAGATGTCATGGAGTGACAGCATCAGTCACATTTCAATCTTCATATGGAAATGACCACCTTGCTGAGTGTGACAGTGGTGTTTGGCAAGGCAAACAAGGAAGAATGAGGCTGAAGTTTGTGTTTTATTGCTCTGATCTCTTTCTTCATGGTTTTAGATGAAGAACAGGACACAAAGAGCTGAAAGATTAGAGGGCAGATTAAATCCTTTCATTTTTATCTCTTCTAAAGAACACTGTGAAGTTTGGTTTTATTACTACCTTTCTAATACAGGATGAATTAGAAGTCATGCACTCTTCTGGCCAAAATCTACGATTCTTTGATTTTTCTTTCCTAACTCTGAATGGCTGAAAATCAGCTAAATCTCAGCCAGGCATTTAAACTCCCTCTCTGGTAACTACAGAACAAAAAGCAATCAACAATAACACCTGAGTGCAACTCAGGTCAAACTAAGCATGTCTGAGATTAACTCCTGTCTGGAGTTAACTTCCCTCCACTGACTAAGGAGGGGAAATAGATATCTGAAGTGAAGACAACTGTCTTCCAGAAGCTGGGTGAGCTGAATCCCAATCTCTGCACATACACAGCTAAAATGGACTATATACACTAGGGAGGTCTGTGCCTCCCCTACACTTCCCCTAATCATACAGAATAATGTCACTGGGGAATGTAAAGGTCTTAAGGATTTTTCAGGAGTCATGCCATACAGGATGCCTAACAGTAATAGCAGTGACCTACAAGCTCTGATAATTTCTTTCCAAAAATAACAACTTTCTTAAAGTACTAAAAGCTGCCTCAGGCCCCAGCAGTGGTACAACATTTGTTATGCAGCTTATAGATAATTTATTAAGAGCACTTAGGGCAAAATGTCTGCTACATGCATTTCCCAACCTTCCCAGTTTGTTTTCTCTCTCTTCCATGGAACAGAACCTTCCTTTAAATGTAAAAATAGATTAAACAAATCTAGTACAATTCACCTGCATGGCCAGTTTTTCAGCTGCTGAACAGAAACTGCATGGAGATTTTAGTTCCAACAGAGCAAGTCCCAAATTTACAATCCTGGCTCTCTCTTTTCTAAGTCATACTAAACAAGTCACTATGACTGGCTCATTTAAGAGTACTGATTCATAAAGGTCTGACTGGATCACCTTAATCCAGGGTGCAAACCTTGAAATCTGGAAAACTGATCATACCAGTTTCCCATTATTTCCAGATTATTTCCTTCATGGAACTCTCTCAGCATCAGGCTCCTACCTCTGAGCAGGGAGCCCAGGTGAGCCTTGGCAAACAGAAATGAATTAAAGCTGGATTACAGAGAAGCTCATTAACCCCTAGGACCTCAGGTGTAAGCAGTTTGTAATCTTTTTCCCTGGTTTGAACTACAGTCTTAGCACTTGTGTGATAAATTTGTTCCTTCAAAGAAAAACAAATCCTCAATCTACAAGGGGAACTTTTTTAGAATGCTTGACTCTGTACAGAGAGATAGAGCCCTACACTGAGCCTCTCATAGAGCAACTCAAGTGTGAAATCATATTGTCCAGTCAAAATTTGCACTGTTGTGTTTCTTCAATATTCTTAGAAAACTGAAGCTTCTGGCAAGAGAAGAACCTTTTACTAGCAGGAAAAGGAAGAATTTTAATGTAGTGGTGATATTGAGAAAAACAAACATACATAGGAGGTAAATTTGAAAAAAAAAAAAGAATAGGCAGACTAGGGAAAATAAAAAGAAGCATCATAATGAGTGGTAGTATGACAGTCTTGGGAAGGGGCAACAAAGTATGGATCTGAGATCCCACAGGAAAAGAATTCAGAGGATGCCATCCAGTGTGGACAGAGCAAAATCAGCAAACACATACATGCAAGATATTCAATATATCGTCTGTACTTCTTCACTTATTACAAAATTAATTCCCATGCCTATTGTGAAAGCATGTCTTAACATTCCAGTTTGTTGTTTGCCAGAATGCCTGTAACAGTCTCTTCTCCCTGACAGATTTTGTAAGCTACCAGTGGCACTTAATTCCTGGATGGGACAGCCAGGTCCTTGGGGCACTGACTGCCACTGTACTTTGGTAAACCTCAACAAATTCTCAAATTAGATAGTCAACTTCAATAAATATGAACAACTATTTCTGAGATGGTGTCAATTTTCTCCCAGAAATAACCAGCAGAGCAGTTGAAATCAAACAAAAATAAGTGCTCGGGTACTGAGATGACAAGCCCCTGAGGACAGCAGTTATCATTTTCCAAACCAGACAGAAGGCTGCTCCTGAAGAAGCACTTTAAAACACTGTGGCAAATTATCACTCTTCTAGCTTCCTTCACTTTGCTTACTGACAAAAGCTGTAACTCAGTCTCACCTCTTTATAACTGTTTTTTGCTTCTTCTTGCCTCATATCAGTTGATGCTGATGACAGGCTTGAGACAGATGATCCTCTGCTGAAAGTTTCTGTTGAGTGCTGAGGAGACCTAAGTGGTGACTTGCAGTTGGGAAAAAAAAATAAAAATCAATCAAACAAACAGAAAAGGTTAAATATCAAATTAAGGAGGTTAAGCATAGGCAAGAAACAGTTCAGCAACTTGCATGGGCTGTTACCTCAGAAGCACTCTGTCCCCTTTCAAATGTTGTGTAGTTTAATTCCATCAACGACAAAATCTGCATAAAAATATTAAAGAGAACCAGTGTAACTCCACTTATAGAGGAATCTACTGACTGAAACACAAATTAGCTGACAACCTAATAATTAGTAACAGATTAAAAGTACTCATTTACAAGTTCATGTTCTATCTCACAGAATGTATTCCCACTGCTGGAGTTAAAATGGGACCTTTCTTCCTCAGAGTGAAACACACATTTTCTCTTTAATAGTGAAACCCCATTAACAGTGGACATTTACACTTGTGTGGTGTTGCATCAGACAGAAATGAGGCTGGAAGCTAAAGAGGAATACCTTGGAATTTAATGCACACTGTAGGGAAGTCTCTTTCATGCGGTTCTGAATTTCTGGGTTTGCCCCATTTTGCAAGAGCACTTCTATGATGCCTTGGTAGCCCCAGCGAGCAGCAATGTGCAGAGCAGTGTCTCCCTTCTCATTGCCAATATCCAGCCTGCAGGAATGCACATCGTAGTACACTAAAGCCTTGACACACTGGGAAGAAAAGGAAAGCTATCAATAAATTATGGTGTTGTGTCTCAGTGCAGACATCAGGCACAATCCTAAAAGGTTTATTTTTATTGCTGCTCATGTAACCCATTACCTAAGGAACAGTCTTTAGTGGTTCAGTGTCATTAAACAAAGAGTTAAATCACTACATTTGCAAAGGACTGCTATCTTTAATGTGAACTCACATTAAAAATTGCTACGAACTACCAAATAAAGTCCTTATTTAGAACATTAAACAATTTAGCCTTCAAGTAATTTTATTTACTTTTTAAAATATGTAAGTTTAGTGCTAATTTGCATCAGTTTAATTCCATTCCAGTAGAATGTCCATTTGGTTTGTTACAAAACAATTACTTACATCCTCATGACCATAAGTGCAGGCTAAATGAAGTGGAGTATTTCCATTATTGTCCTGAACATCAGTACTTGCCTTGTAGTGCAATAAGAGCAGCTTAAAAGAAAAAAAAAAAAAAGAAATAAAGTAGACATTTAAGTAACTAAAAAATTAATGTACAATTATTGCTCTGCAGATTCCTTTAGGGTTCTGGCATGATGAAGCACTTCATGAGACACCAGCTCTGCCTCCTGTTCAGACACCACCCTCTTGGCACTGCAGCACTGCTTGTGCCCTACCCTGAGAATCAAAAATCTCCTCTTACATATTCTGAATTTTAACTGAAAAAAAGGAATTCTCTGCAGCAAACACTGCATTATACTCACTACATTATCTACCTCGCATTTCAAGAGCTTATGCGAGCCAATTAAGACCCAGTTTAATTGCAACAATGCTAATTGAAGAATATCACATACATGAAATTCAAGCAGACAATAAGTACTGTAGTTACACAGTCTATCCCGAACACAGTGTGAAGCATTTAACTCAGTCCTAAGACTGCAATGGTTGTTCTGTCTCAAGCAAGAGCAGAGATGCTCTCCATTTGTATTATGTACTGGACATTTGTATTAATAAAGTGGATGAATTATCAGGCATGCAGAGCTGCCAGTTTGTTATTACCAATGGCTGAAAACCTTGCAATAGAAGAAAAAATAAAATATCTTGCAAACTACAATGAGGAAAGATTCTCCATTCTGACAGCTCACACAGTTCTGGTAAAAGCTCCCCAGAAGATAAAATGACAGTAACAGTAGAAGGGCTTAGCAGGAGTCATGTATTTATTATTTAGGCTAGGTGTTGTGCTTACTGTAACATTTTGGTATCCCTTCTGGCAGGCGAGGTGAAGAGGAGTTGAACCGTGGTAATCTGTAGCATTGACAACGGCTCCTTTGGCTACCAGTAAATCCACTAATGAAGTTTGACCTTGGAAAATTAGCATTCAAAGAAAGGAGTAAACTTTGCACAAGAACACTGCCACTTTCCAAATTCAAACAGTGACTGTAAATCAAGATACCCTGCATTTCTGCATACTATGTTTCCATATACTGCATGTTCACTGCCTTGGTATTTGGGACTTTTTTGTGGCAGATTATTCAAAGTCAAAGCCCTGTAAAAGAACCTCCAGCTAAAAGCAATGTATATTTGTATCCTATGAGTAGCAAAAGAAAATACCTGGATTCAACATAATAACAAAAAAGGAAATAATAAATAAGAAACCACCCCCTAAGAAAATAACACAGTTTCTAGTAAAAGGAAGATCAATTACATAATGAACATTACAGGTATTACAGATCTACAATGCACAGCCAGCTGCAGGAAAGGGAAAAATCCTGTCTCAATCTGCCAGTCCTTTAAAACAAGACTGGCTTCTGAGGACACATTTTTACTTTTTCCAAAGCTGAAGAAAGCACCACTGTGGTAATCACTATGACAAAAATAAACAGTCAGCAAACAAAGAAGAACTCAGCTGGAGCTTAAAAGAATCTACAACGACTTCAGTCTGTGCTCAGATAAAAACAGCAAAGTTTCAATAGCACAGGAGCAAAAAACCAACTTAATGCAGAATTCCAACTTCATTACAATGGTGGAAAACAAGCTGACATAAAGATACAAAAGGAGTAGGAAGCACTAGTGAAGAACAGCAAGCCCACTCACCACAAATAGCAGCTATGTGAAGTGGAGTGTATCCCCGGTCATCTCGGGAAAAGGGGGTGATAATGGAAGGGTCATTCAGTTTCCTTTAAAACACAATGGTTTGAAAGCAGCTTAATTACCCAGCTGGTGGTAGGAAGGAGGAGAGAAAGGGAAAAGCTGCCAAGGATGACAAAAAACTGATTTTTGAACTTTTTATCCTTTTACATTGACAAATTATTTCATACAGAACTTTACATTTTGTTGAGAGAAGTGGGTTAGTCCCAGACCTGTAAGTTTGATTCAAGACACCATGTTGACCAAAGGACACAGGCTCCATCACAGAACAGGAGGGTTCCAAAGGATTCTGCATGCTCCCAATATTTCTTCTTTTTTTTTTTTCAAACCACACACACACACTCTCTACTACATCCCAAAGTGCTACTGAATTCCTCTATAACCAAAAGCAGTACACTTTCTGAAGCAAATTTTAGTTAAAGGCTTCTACACAGCTTTCTATGCATTTGTGGGGTGAAGAGTGCTCACCCAGAAACCAGCTTCTCGCATTTGTCACAGTAACACAGCGGGTGACACATTTTCTGTACAGTGTCCTTATCACTGTCACCTTGACTTAGCAGCCGCTCCACTTCCTCTTGATCACCTGAAGCAATATGCTACAAAAAACCACAAGAGTAGAGAGAATGAGAAACCAATATAAAAGGCCTCCTTTTAAGAAAAAAAAAAAGCCAAGAGTAATTTACTGAAGCACAAAATGAAAGGAACCGATTATGAAAGACGTATTCAAGCATTAGAAAGCAGAAATGAACAATGTCACAGCACAAAGCCCCCTAATGGGCATTCAGTATTAAAAAGAAACTGTTCTTGGCTTACTTCACTTTCTATAAAAAAATTAAAACAATTCCTATTGTCCTCTTTAGACTCCATCATGAAATTGAGCTCCCTCTGTGCAAAAACATGTCCATAAAATTACTAAGTCTCCAGCCATAAGCTGTGAACACATATAATTAGAAGCTCTGCTTTGTGTCCTTGTATAGGCAAAATTCTTTTAGAATGACAGTATGAGATTAACAGATAATATGAAGTAGCTGTCAGGTGACTACATTTAAATTATTTCAGAAAACTCTTCCAATTTCAAGCACTAAAAGCTGTGAGACACAAGCAGTATCACATCTGTGCATTAAATGGAACACAAAATACCAACAGCAGTAGCATTTCATCCTCATTTGCTTCTATATTTCACATAATGTGCTGAAATCCATAAGACTATATTATGTCAGTAACGCTTTGGCACAGAAATGTACTTGATTCAAAAGACGCTTTTAGCATCTACTAAAACACATTTCACAGTACTAATGTAATTAACCCTTCATTACATTCCAGAGAATTGCAGAAAGGGAGGAATATAAACATGAAATGTGCAAATACATACATATTCTGCCATAAAAGTTATTAACCTTAAACAAGCAGTCAATTGGTGCAGCAGACATCTGGGACAACAAGTTCATCCTTTGTCTTAAGAGCAGCTTGTCACACAGACTCTCAGATTCCTGAAAATAATTAATACATAGATTGATTATCTATGCAGTCATTTAAAGGCAAAAGCGCAGAACCTTAACAGTGGAATTAACTTTTAAAATACAAAATGCTTATTTACTATGTATGAATTATCAGATACATGTGAAATCTGAATCAGTTTCATTTTTAAGATTTTGAGACACAAAAGACTGGGCACCTATAGAAACAAGCAGATGAACATTCCTTTACTGAAACTCACTGTGAATTAACAATGAAATTATGGATGTACCATCTAAGAAAGAACACAGCAAAACTAAAAGAATACTTATTAAAGACAGCATGAACTGCAAAGGTTACAACACAGCTTTCTCAAGAGGAGAAATTAAGACAAATTCACATAAAACATGTCTTATGGCTATGAAAAAAGATGATCCAGATACAACTCTGACTCAAAAATTTCTGAACTTTCTGCTGCTAGCTGAAAAATAAAACACTGCATCAGACAAAACATTGCTCTGCAGCAGATCCATCCGTGTAGTATTTCCTACTTGGTTTGAGCTAAGCAGATACAGCTGCAACCCTTGCATCAGTTCTTATTCTCTGGGACATTAAAGAATATAAATATCTCCAAAACCAGGTGAAAATTGTAGAGTTAGATTTTGAGATGGCAGCACTGACCTTCCCATGAAATAAAACAACATAAGGAAAACAGTTTCTAGGAATGCAGATGGAAACTTCTGCACATGGTTGGTTCTGATCCACAGCTGCTTATGGTTGGCAGTGGTGCTGTTGTAGGATAATGGCTCTCCAGAAATGGAAAGATTTCAGCCTCCAGAAAACAGAAAACCACTGCATTTAAGACACACCCATGTGTCAGGCAAAGTTTGATGGTTTAGGATCTGGACTATGGCTTTTGCAATTAAAGTCTGTCAAGACCAGATGTAAATGAGTAAAACCAGACTGACCCCACTCTTACATTAGCAAGCCAGCATGAAATTTGAGCCTCATAAACTGCAAATAAACAAGATCGGCTGAGTTCAGACTTTCTAGAAATTAGACTGTTCATGTTTCAAAATCAACACTCAGATGCCTCTCATAAAGCTGTCCAAAAAACCCTTAAGAGTTCAGCAAATAATGTAATTAAAAACATGTTTGTAAGGTCTGGAGATGAAAGTTTTTCTCTCTACTTCACAGGAAGTTGTTTGTATTTAGATACATGAAGGTGATGAACATTGGCTAATCTTTTCAAATCTCAGTGCTTTAGCTAAGGATACCCAATCATATCTTCTCAGAATTACAAGGCACATACCACTAACATAGAACACTAGTCTCCTTAGATAGATTCTTTGCTATGAACAGGAATAACTTCTCTATAAAATATTTGATCAAAAATCAAACTGCTGGTACAAGTTCCTAATGTCTAATCAGAATTTCTAGTGTGGCTGCTCACAGCTTTACACTTTCACTGTGGAGAATCTAAGTAACATTAGCAAGATCTACTGTAGTTTTAGCACTGCTCCTTCCTCAGTGTGTGTCTACAAAAGAAGGGTGCCCCAAGTGGAATCATTTTATGTCACATGAGACAGCAACCCTAATGTAGCAGTATTATATATTTATTATATAAATCAGAATAAAAGCCCAGGTGAAACCACCTATCCTCAACAGTGAAATATGGAATGACAAGAGAATCAGATATTCACTCTAGGATTAAGCAAGTTTGGGCCTTCAAAATCAGAACTCACTGGTACCAGCTTTACTTAGAGTGCAACCATTTGTATTTCTTTTAAAAAGAGATTGCTTCGAGTGGGACTTTCAGGTATTTTAAGTGTTGTCTAGAAAATACACACCCAAACATTAATGACCTTTTTTATCTAATGGTACAATGTGTAGAAAAAGGAATTATCTTTATCTATGAGGGTGTACTTGTATAATGATCTATCCCAAGTCATTCTCACAGATTACAACTGATGACTTGGAGGAAATACAGGTGGCAGAAGCCAGGAGAGGAACTCTTGAACACAGACTAAGGCTAATAAAGTTTTTGGTGGGGAGGGGGAAGCAGGGATAATTTCCCCATTTCCAGCTCTTCCCATACAGGAAACAAAATGCTGCCTATTCCCTCATGGTTGGCTCTGAGCCCTGCTTTTTTATATCTCATTTGAACCCTTTGAACTACAGAGTCTTAATACACATTAACAGTGCATAGAAATGAGCTAGTATCCAATGCTTATTAACAAGAATTCTAATTGAATAATGTTGACAATTCAGAAAATAAAACTGACTCTCATGCTTTACAGGCTCCTCTCTTCCTCCTAAACAAAGTGTCTCTCAAAGATTTGCATGACCTTGGGTGAAGGGATTTGGCAAGAACGTCCTGAGTGCAATTCACTTACTGACATGGGGGTGAGAACGTGCCCATGAGCCCCCAGGGTACATTAGTCCCCTGCCGAGTTTCTTTCTGGAGTCAGCTTCATTAGGGATTGGACAGCAGCATTACTCAGCTGCCAGCAGCTCCATCTGAAGCCAGCTATAAAATTAAGCATAACCACATAAGGGGCTGTAATGAAGCCCCAGGGCACGGCAATGCTCCTGCTCACTTCAATCCCACACCCCCTTCCAGCACAATCTGGAAAAGGAAATCATAAGGCAGCAAGATGACAGCTGCTGCTGCTTCCAAGTTCATCTCTTTTACTACAAATTAAAGGAAGAATCTCAACTGGTGACTTTATGGAGGGAGAGCAATGCTCCTCCACCTCCTCACTTCTCTTTCCATTTCTGCTTCAGAGTCTCTTATCATGGTGTGCCACCTTCTCCTACCCTGGAGAAAAGGGGGGTCTGGCTCTTTCCTTTCCAGATGTGTTAAGGACAAGTTGTCTCTCACTTCATCTCAGGGTTCTGCTGCCTTCCAGCCAGGCTGACTCCAAGGAAAGAATTTTGTGTTGCATGTTCACCCTAAATTGATAAAGTTCTCTAGGTCTGAGCTGATCCAGCTCAAGGATGGGCATAAACACTTATGGCTTGCTCTTCTCATGGTGCAGACACTGAAGTCCTCACTTAGACTCCTCAAATACATAGTTTATCTTCCCAAAGAAATATAGTAACTTAATGGAAGTGCCACTTAAATGACAACACCTGAATGCAATCCCTTAAAGCTGCTATCCTTAGCTACACCAGGAGGGATCAGGCATTTAATCTTTATTTTAGAAATTTAAGAGCAGTGCATTCTATCTTAGCTTGCTGGCTTTGTTGTGGAAGACAATTCTACTTGGGTTGCAGTTTTCTTTCAGCACACCAGCTTTGCTCTTTGTATATTGATTGTGAATGACAGCCAAATGACTGCAGGAAGCAAGATCATATAGCAGGTTGTTTCTTTTAAACTAACAGTTTTATTTTTTATATAAGTCAATTACAGACAAGAAATACCACTCTTTATACAATATGAAAGTGCTGGTGGTTTCTTTTTTTGAGTGTACAAAACAAACTTGCACAACAAGTTCATGGAAAAAATCCCAGAAAAGAACAAAACCAAAAACAGCAAGAGGCCAAAATGTCACATTAAGTGCTTCTTAAAGTGCCCCAGGCTGTCCCATCCCAAGCCCTGCACACTGAACCATTATTCTGGCCCCTGCAGTTAGTTTCCAGTGCTTTGCAGTGGGGCAGACTGAGACACATTGAATTCACTCTGGTTCCAAGTTCACTCCTTTTGATTTCCACATCAGCTCAGGAAAACCTAGTTTTACAACAGTAGAAAATTTTAGAGGAGTGGTAAGACTGGATTCCTTAATGAAATAATCTACAAAGTTCTTAAATTATAGAGGTTTCTAAAGTCACATCAGCATCACCCTTGGCTGGCCTGCAGGGATGTGACCAGATTGACAGCAGGTCTAGCTGCCCAGTAGGAGAGCTCATGCATCCACAAACTTCCTGCCCCTGCCAGGTTAGAGATCCCAAGAGCCAAATTTGACCTTCAAACAGCACCTGATCACAGCCCTGCAATCCCCCTAAGCCATCAACTCAGTGCAGCATTGTAACTCACACTGCAAACACATGGAATTCTTCCAGTATGAAGTTTTACTGAATAATTCTAAATTACACTGCTATCTCCATTCTGCTAGCACAGCTAAGCTTTCCAAAATTACATGAAAATTTAAACTGTGCCTGCTCCCAAAATCATGGTAGAGTACAAACAGGAAATAAACATACTGGAGACTCATCTGCAGAAAACAGTGCTGTCATTTTTCCTCTAACCATATCAAGAGGCAGACTTGGCATTTAAGTACTTCCTCTAGAAGTATACAATGAACAAATATTGGTACATAGGACTTCACTACAATCATTTAGGTAAATTTAGCATTTGCTACAGGTAGTCACCTCTACTCAATTTTTAATAAAAAAAAGGAAATTCTGATGTTAGTTATTTGTATCCTCTGGCTGGATTTACACCCACAATGGTACACAGAACTACAAGTTATCAAATAGGCATTTGACAGACTTTAAGAGTAGCTTACTGTCGATCTGTCAGAGAGGTTGCCTTGCCGTATGTATTCTATTGCAGCCTCAATCGAGGTTAGGCAGTATCCCAACTCATCCTTCACTGAACTGCAAAGCCTGAAGTTCTTTATGTAACTCAAGTTGGCCATCCTGAAAAAAAAAAA